CGGGGCGGGGGGCGAGGGAGAGCCCCGCCTGGGGGGGGGACCGGGGGGCTGCTGCCGCTCTGAAGGCTTTGGGCAGCCGTAAGTGGCTTTTCCCGTGGTGGAGGGAAAACTGGAGAGGCGTTAAAGCGGAATAGATAACTTGGTTTTAAGCTGGCATGTGTCGAAAATTGGAGAACGAAAGGCTGAGGGAGCTGGGCTTGTTCAGCCTGGAGGAGGCTGAGAGGGGACCTTATAAATACTTATAAATATCTGCAGGGTGGGTGTCAGGAGGACGGGGCCAGACTCTTTCTAGTGGTGCCCAGCGACAGGACAAGGGGCAACGGGCACAAACTGAAGCAGAGGAAGTTTTTATGACAGCTTTGCAGCACAGCAGAAAGGCAAATAAGAAATGATAATAGCATATTTATTAACAAGGTTTAGAATAGACCATGAAGAGGAACATGAGAAATCTGAGATTTAAAAAGAGGAGGAGGAATATGCAAGAAATGGGAGATTAAAAAATAACCCCCCCATGAGGCACAGGCTGCAGCTGTGGCGCAGAGGAGCTGGTCTGGCTGCTGGTTGCTGGGGCCCTGTCCCCCATCTTCTCCTCTGCTGGTCCCAGCACTCTGCAGGCACCTGGAAACGCTTGGGTGCTGAGCAGGTAGAGGGCTAACCTCATGGAAGAAAAACAGTCATTTTGAAATGTTTCTGCTGACTTACTGTGCGGAGGTGAGGATGTGCGAAGGTAGTGACTGAGGGAGCTGGGGCTGTTCAGTCTGGAGAAGAGGAGGCTGAGGGGGGACCTTATCCCTCTCTACAACTACCTGAAAGGAGGGTGTAGTGAGGCAGGGATTGGTCTCTTCTCCTAATTAACCAGCGACAGGACGAGAGGCAATGGCCTCAAGCTGCAGCAGGGGAGGTTTAGATTGGATATTGGGAAAAATGTCTTCACTGCAAGAGTGGTCAGGCATTGGACCAGGCTGCCCAGGGCAGTGGTGGAGTCCCCATCCCTGGAGGGGTTCAAAAAGTGTGTAGATGTGGCACTTGGGGACATGGTTTAGCAGGCATGGGGGTGTTGGGTGGATTGTTGGACTTGATGATCTTAGAGGTCTTTTCCAACCTATGATTCTATGAAAAGCCAGGGGAGAGTGAGGGGTGAGATGGCAGCAGCCGGTGGTTCTGTCGCTGTTGGCTGCTGCGAATCTCCAGCCTCTGTTGTGTGTGTTTTGCTCCATCGGGAGTTGTAACGAAAACAATCCTCTGCCTCCTAAACAGGTTAGCTCTGAACTGGCCACTGTAAGTTCTTTTTTTCCCTTTTTTTTTCCGGATTGCTAGCTTTGTAGTAAGTGATTGCAAGAGATCTAATAAATTATAGTATCTCTTCTGCTAGTTCTGTCACAGTTTATCATAAGGAACTTGCAGGCTTTTTTTTTTTCTTTTGCTTATTGATGTTGAGTTTTTCAAGTAACTACTGAAAGTGTTTTTTCATGTTCTGAGTTACCTAATGTGTGTTGGAAGGGGCCAGCATTTTAACTCCAATTCTCAATTTTATTCAAGTACTACAGAAACAAGTAGCTATAGTGTTTTATTTCTGTTCTCTTTCAGCTGCGCTGGAGTGTGTAGATATGAAGGAAAAGGTGGAATGTGTTCGATTCGTCTGAGTGAGCCGCTCCTAAAGTTAAGACCAAGAAGGGATCTTGTTGAGGTATTTGGAAGTTGCTCATGAATTTGCATATAAAATGTGTTGTGCCTCGTCCCCACTCCATACGCACATTTTACATTTCGTAGTGGGATTCTTATATAGAGTGACTCACACATCATAAAATAGTGGTGGTTATAGTGTTACATTTTTGTGGCTTGTGTTGCGATGTGGTAACCTTTCAGTTTTATGTTTCTAAGTGTGCAGCTCTGAGTAGGAGTCTAATGTCACTTGTTTGCTTTACTGACTGTATAAAGGGGAAAAAACCCAACTTTTTTTTTACTCCTAAATTATCCTCTAATATTAAAAACAAGCATGGACTGTAAGCACAATCAGAAAGTGGCTATAGGTTCATCTTTTAGGTCGAAAGGCCAACAGCAGAAAATAAGGATATACGATATGGCTGTAAACATAACTTTGTGTGGCTGATGGTTTGAGTTGGCTCGACGTTTGGATTTGCTGCATGAACAGAAATGCTGCAGAGTTTCAACTTTAACACAAGTGTCTTTCTTTGGTTGCAGAGGGGATGATCTCTTTAAAGATCTGACTTAAATTTGAGGATTATTTCTCCTTTTTGTAATGTCACTTGTTATAGTAATATTCTCCAGCATGTTCTGGTGGTATGGGAATAGAGGGAATGTGGTTTGATAGATGGAATAAGTATGATGTTTTTATGACCCAGACTGAACATGCATGAAAATAAGATCATACCAAGATAAATGTAAAAGAGGAAAATATTTCCAGCGCAATTTTGAAACTCTGTGTAATGCTTTTCAGTAAATAGCTAATGATTTGCATCGTTTCAGACACTTTTGCATGAAATGATCCATGCCCTGCTTTTTGTTACCAATAATGACAAAGATCGTGAATCTCATGGACCAGAGTTCTGCAAACACATGCGTCGCATTAATCGCCTGACTGGAGCCAATGTCACAGTAAGCGAAATCCCCTTAACCTAATTTAATAAAAATTTTTTTTTTTTTTTTTTTCCCAAAGTTGGTTTTTCAGTATGCCTGGTGTGGTGTGAGTAACCTATATTTTCTTGTTGGGCACTTCACAGTGGGCACCGACACAAATTTGCATCCCAGTGTATGCCAGTTCCATAGTTATTTTGTTGGGGATGATGGTGGGAACAGGTTGAGGCAGATGTGGTGGGTTATATGTCGTATAATTTCTCGAGTATATTCTCTGTAAGTATTTTCTTTTAAACTGGAAACAATGTAAATGATGCCAGGGACAGAATAGCTCCACGCTCTGAGTAATATTTGGGGAAGAG